CTCTTGGTATAGAAATTTTTTACCCCGAGCTACACTCGGGAATACCGCTAAGGTTATAGGATAGCTGTACAGTATGCAGGGGCAGACTGACAACTCCTGGGGCCCCCAGGCAATAGGGGATCATAGGGCACCTGTGTCCTTGCCCACACTCAAAGCACACCCAAAAAGGCCTATAAAAAAGGTACCAGGGGCATTACATGGGGCCCCCTACTGACCCCGGGCCCTCAGGCAGTGCCCGAGTGCTCCAATGGTCAGTCCGCCCCCGACAGTATGTTTACCCTCTTGCCCATGGAGCCTTTGCAATCCTGGGGATAGGATTTATTACTTGTATATGCAAAAACTCCAGTGTCCAACAGCACAAACACTGCGCTTTATATACATCCGATTTGAATGTTTGGGGAGAAATTAGAGAGCTCTGTTAGGAGATAAAGAATGATTCTAAACTGGGCTAGGTGAGCAATCCATGTCCCAGATGAGCCTTCTGCTATACTGGGCTAGGTGAGCAATCCATGTCCCAGATGAGCCTTCTGCTATACTGGGCTAGGTGAGCAATCCATGTCCCAGATGAGCTTTCTGCTATACTGGGCTAGGTGAGCAATCCATGTCCCAGATGAGCCTTCTGCTATACTGGGCTAGGTGAGCAATCCATGTCCCAGATGAGCCTTCTGCTATACTGGGCTAGGTGAGCAATCCATGTCCCAGATGAGCCTTCTGCTATACTGGGCTAGGTGAGCAATCCATGTCCCAGATGAGCCTTCTGCTATACTGGGCTAGGTGAACAATCCATGTCCCAGATGAGCCTTCTGCTATACTGGGCTAGGTGAGCAATCCATGTCCCAGATGAGCCTTCTGCTATACTGGGCTAGGTGAGCAATCCATGTCCCAGATGAGCCTTCTGCTATACTGGGCTAGGTGAACAATCCATGTCCCAGATGAGCCTTCTGCTATACTGGGCTAGGTGAACAATCCATGTCCCAGATGAGCCTTCTGCTATACTGGGCTAGGTGAGCAATCCATGTCCCAGATGAGCCTTCTGCTATACTGGACTAGGTGAGCAATCCATGTCCCAGATGAGCCTTCTGCTATACTGGGCTAGGTGAGCAATCCATGTCCCAGATGAGCCTTCTGCTATACTGGGCTAGGTGAGCAATCCATGTCCAGATGAGCCTTCTGCTATACTGGGCAGGTGAACAATCCATGTGATGAGCCTTCTGCTATACTGGGCTAGGTGAACAATCCATGTCCCAGATGAGCCTTCTGCTATACTGGGCTAGGTGAACAATCCATGTCCCAGATGAGCCTTCTGCTATACTGGACTAGGTGAACAATCCATGTCCCAGATGAGCCTTCTGCTATACTGGGCTAGGTGAACAATCCATGTCCCAGATGAGCCTTCTGCTATACTGGGCTAGGTGAACAATCCATGTCCCAGATGAGCCTTCTGCTATACTGGGCTAGGTGAACAATCCATGTCCCAGATGAGCCTTCTGCTATACTGGGCTAGGTGAACAATCCATGTCCCAGATGAGCCTTCTGCTATACTGGGCTAGGTGAACAATCCATGTCCCAGATGAGCCTTCTGCTATATGGGCTAGGTGAACAATCCATGTCCCAGATGAGCCTTCTGCTATACTGGGCTAGGTGAGCAATCCATGTCCCAGATGAGCCTTCTAGCAGCAGCTAACAGACCTTGTGGCATAGAATGCAAACACGACGTTTAACAAAGGCATTTACAGCGGAGTTTTATAAAGGGCCCTTTCACATGGGCAGACTGATTGGGTCTGCCTGTCCGTTTTTCAGGTGGACCCAATCGAAGCACCCATTGTTCTCTATGGGGAGGGGGATGTAAATGGACATGTGTTATTTACACCTGCCCCAACATTTGATCCGATCTGCTAAAAACAGACGAATGGGGATCCGTTCCCCATCTGTCTAGCAGGATCAGATGACAGTCGGATGTAAACAAACAGGTGGTCCATTTAAATCCGAATGCCCCATAGAGAACAGTAGGCTGTGTTCGTGTTTGCTCTGCACAAGCAGAGTGGACCTGTCATCCACCTGCTCAGTGGGGAGCAGCTGACAGATACCCCGCTGAGCAGGTAAATCTGCTTGGTGGAGTCCACCCTTGTGAAAGGACCTTAAGAGGGTAAATGATTTGTTTAGGATAGCATTTTATAAATGGGGATTTAGCAGACAATATATTTAACAAAACACCCTGTTTTCAGTTTAAGAGCTAAAAATCACTGAAACTTTTAAATTAAATTTTAAAGACAAAATATCATGAGTTTTTTTTACCCCTTGTGCCCTATTGTAAGCAACATTGTGACCCCCACATCACAGATTACTCAGAAGGCAAAATGTTTATGTGCGTATCAGGGGAGGACTGACAATTCATGGGGCCCCCGGGCAATAGGGGATCATGGGGCTCCTGTGTCCTTGCCCAAACTCAAAAAAGCCTATGAAATAGGTACCAGGGGCATCTCATGGGGCCCCCTACTGACCCCAGGCCCTCGGGCAGTGCCCGAGTTTCCAAGTGGTCAGTCCGCCCCTGGTGCGTTTATATCTATTTCTATATATCTATATACACTCAGTGGTCACTTCATTAGGTACACCTTGCTAGTGGAAAGAAAATCTCCCCCACACCATGACACCACCAACACCAGCCTGAACCATTGATACAAGGTAGGATGGATCTATGCTTTTCGTTGTTTATGCCAAATTCTGACCCTACCATCTGAATGTCACAACAACCCATCTATCCATTCTCCTCTGACCTCTGACATCAACAAGCTATTTTCGTCCACACAGCTGCCACTCACTGGATATTTTCTCTTTTCGGACCATTTCTGTAAACCCTAGAGATGGCTGTATGTGAAAATCCCAGTAGATCAGCAGTTTTTGAAATACTCAGACCAGCACATCTGGCACCAACCATACCATGTTCAAAGTCACTTTAATCCTCTTTCTTCTCCATTCTTATTGATCAGTTTGAATTTCAGCAAAAATGCCTAAATGCAATGAGTTGCTGTCATGTGATTGGCTGATTATCAATTTTGTGTTTCCAAGCAAATGAACAGATGTACCTAATAAAGTGGCCTGTGAGTGTATATATAAATATATTCACAGTAGGCAGGTAATAGAACAGGTTCCCTTGTATGGTGCCTCTTCTCCCAGGGAGAAGGCTGGAAGTCTAGGCAGGACCAGGAAGGGAGATGGGTCAGACTGGAGGGGCAGAGAGTCACCTTCTATCCACTGTGTTCCTGCTCTCCCCTTGGTGTCCCCCCTGGTGTTCCCTGGCTGTTTGACCTAGAGAAGGTGCCCACTGTCTGGAACCCCTGGGAGTGATGGGGCTGAAGCACACAGTCAGGAGGGTGGATCCAGGGTCAGTCTTGGCTACTTGCTATGGCCACCTGCCAACATACTGTCTAAACATGTTTACTGTATATATATTAAAAAAAATATACAAAATGTTTTTATAAGTGATCATATGACCTGCATAGGGGGCATAGAAAGGGGAGACTCCTTGTGATAATGGTGTGGCCATGGCTGCAGCAGCTTGAACTGAGCACAGGCACAATCCAGTGTAAAATGCAGAGACAGAAATGTACTGTGATGAGCTCAATAGAGGGATGGGTCAGCAGGAGACAGATAAACAGCAGCACACTGATCTTCCCAGTGAAGGGCTGTGCGGGGTGGGCATGTCAGCAGGATGCAGAGAAACAGCAGTATACAGTACTTATTTTCCCAGTGACGACTGTGCAGCAGAAATCTGACCATTAGAGTGCAGGCAGGCTGTGCAGCCAAGTAGAATGCAAACAAGCAAACTGACCACACTGGGATGGATGGATATGCTCCCATGTTCTGGTGTGGCCAGTTTAAAAGAAGAAAGCAGGGGAACTGGCAGGATCGCCAGGTATTTCACATAAAGGAAGCAATGCAAAGAGAACAAATCTTTTTAATACAGTACACTGTAAATACATGGTAACAAAGACATGTCAAAAATATGAGATGTTGATGTAAACACGCAGTTATAACATGAAGGATTATAAAGACGCAAGACTTCAATAGAGTTTAAAGTCTGAAATTTGAATAAATTTGCTGATTTTTTGCTTTCTCAAACACTGTTTTGTCATAGAGAAATCACGACTGTGATTTTTTAAAAAATATTATGCAAACACTTTTGTAAACTTGTTGATCGCTTTTTCAACTTTGAAATGGGAAATTTTCAATAGCAACAAAACACGATAAAGTAAACACTTTAAAGAATCTCTGTTCTTTTTTCTAGGAGGCAATTTACTTTTTATTGAATATCAATTAGTCAGGTTAACATTACTTAAAAGTACTGACTATTTCAATACAAAGCTGTCAAGAATGAATTATCAGTGCATCAATTTATTGATTTTAAAAAGCTACTAGATGTATAAAATATGATGCAGTCTTGTTGAAGTCAGTACTGTGATCAATATGTAGAAATGTAGCATACGAATGCTTGCCTTTGGTTCTCACAAAATGATGAAAACCTTGTAACATAGTAAATAATGTCTAATTTTAAAACATAGCAATGTCTATCAGTACATTTTCAGCTTCTAAAAACAGAATATCTGGTTTTGGCACTGAAGCATTGACACCGTAGTTTACAACACACCTTTCAGTTTAGTAAAGTGACCTAACCCTCCGTGTTAAACCCTAATCCCCAAACATCAACCAATAACCTAAACCTAAGCCCAGATCTTAAACAGTAAGTGCAATTTTAGTACATGCAAAAATATTAACTATTTGCTGACCGCAGATAGCCGAATGAGGCTGCACTGCGGCCGGCCAGTTCTGGGTGGACGTCATGTGACGTCCTCCCAGAACGAGCTCTCCTGCACGCCCCCGGCGATCTCCGTGATCGCTGTGTCCTACGGACACAGCTGATCTTGTGACGTGGTAAAAGGCCAATCACAGCGGCCTTTTACCACGTGATTAGCCGTGTCCAATGACACGCTGATCACCGGGAAATGCAAATGCCGGTTCTCAGCTGCACTTTCCTCACGCTGTCAGATCGTGAGGAAAGTATTGCCGAGAACCGGCGGTTGTCAAAGCGGGGATCAGCACCGATCATCAGGGTCACTGATCATCAGTGCCCTGATGATCGGTGCCCAGCAGTGCCACACACAAGTTGTGCCCAGCAGTGCGCCCACCTGTGCCCAGCAATGCACCCACCTGTGCCACCCAGCAGTGTCACCACCTGTGCCCAGCAGTGTCACCACCTGTGCCCAGTAGTGCCACCCACATGTGCCCAGTAGTGCCACCTACCTGTGCCACCTACCTGTGCCCACCAGTGCCACCCACCAGTGCCCATCAGTGCAGCCCAGCAGTGCCGCCAGTCAGTGCCCAGTCAGTGCCCAGCGGTTGTGCCAGTCAGTGCCCAGCAGTGCCGCCAGTCAGTGCCCAACAGTGATGTCAGTCAGTGCCACCTATCAGTGCTGTCTATCAGTACTCATTATCAGTGCCACCAATCAGTGCCGCATTTCAGTGCCACCTATCCGTGACACCTCATTAGTGCTGCCCATCAGTGCCACCTCAGTGCTGCCTATCAGTGCCGCCTATCAGTGCCTATCAGTGCTGCCTCATCAACGCACATCAGTGAAGGAGAAAAATTACCTGTTTGAAAAATTTTATAATAGAAACAAAGAAACATTTTTTTTTTCAAATTTTTTTGCACTTTTTTTGCTTATAGCACAAAAAGTAAAGTGCCCAGCGGCAATTAAATACCGCCAAAAGAAAGCTCTATTTGTGAGAAAAAAATGATAAAAATTTCATATGGGTACAATCTTGCATGACCGCGCAATTGTCAAAGTGCGACAGCATTGAAAGCTGAAAATTGGCCTGGTAAATAAGGGGTATAAGTGCCCGGTAGGCGAGGGGTTAAGGTACCTCTTGCGCTGGTATGGAATGACTATCATGCGTAACAAAATAAGCTGCCAGCACTGAAATGCCTCAACCTGAGCAAAGAAAACGTTCTAATATATACCACGATAGTGCAGCGCTATTAAACTGAGATAATGACACTAATAGGTCACACATATACACTTGCAGTAAAAAACATATGTTCCTAATCCCACTCATGGATCCTCACGTGAGGGATCTAAATAACGTGCAACCACAATGAGTGTGTCCCCTTGGGGTATGGGGATCCAGTGAACTAGTACCAAAACATGCAAACACTTATATTATCATGTGCTACGTGCCACAATGTAGTCCACAAAAACTGGTATAGCATCACATAACATGCAAGTGATTCACTGGTGATAGTGCAAAGAGCTGTGCCAAATCCTCAAAAGCTGGGGAACCCCCTCACCTTCCTGCCCAGGTCCCACGGGACTAATGAGCTTTAAGTATCAATGTTACGGTCCTCTCAGTCCTGGGTGGTCTTCTCAGCAATGGTGGTGGTACTCTTATACTCCTTGTTAGTAGTACTCCAGCCACTTGTGCCTCTCCTGTGTATGTACCTCTCCTTACTCAGCCCCGATAATGAGACAGAGAATGGCCAACATAGTGTAACATCGTTTATTGACATAAACTAAGTGCATAAAAAATTGCCCACTCACATTTGTGAAGATGAATACAGGCTCTTACACCACACTATGGGTGTACTGCATGGGTGGCTGACGAATGGGTGCATCAAAATGGCACCCGCGCCGGATGTGATGGCACCACGCACCTGGAAGCTCCTCCCACTGGCGTACCTACGCGTTACGTCACGGTCAGTCACGTGACTTCCTCAGGGTAAACCAAATTTTAGTACAGTTATTCTTAACGTTGAGTGCTAACAAATCTTGTCTAAAAAGAAGTACTGTATGTGTGCAATTACTTGAATCTTGGCACAATTTGTGTAATCTTTTCAGATCTGTTTATTAATCCACTAAAACATTGTGAGGGTTATTTACTAAAACTGAAGATGACAAAATCTGGTGTAATTCTGCATAGAAACCAATCAGCTTCCAAGTTTTATTGCCAAAGCTTAATTGAACAAGTTCAAGTCAGAAGCTGATTGGCTACCATGCACAGTTGCACCAGATTCTGAACGCACCATTTTTAGTAAATCCACCCCTTTGCCTTTGTGCAGGAGCTCCCTATGATAAAGACCAGTCACTTGTCTCCCTCCTTGTCACGGAAAATGGGACTTCAATGTGTTTACGCCTCTATATTTTTGTAGGCAGCCTGTAGTGTGTCCTTTTTACAGTTTTTTTCTTTCTGCACAGGCTATTTGTAGCACAATGACGATGTTGCCACTACTTTTATATCATTTGTGGCTGTTGGGGAAAATATTTAAATAAAAGTTTTAATCTTGAGTTTCGGCTCTAAAATGTTGTCTTATCTGCCCCCAGCACCAAGTCCTGGTACCTGAGCACCACCCACTGTGATCTTCACTGTGGAGCCACTGAGAATGGCACCGCATCTCCAACAAAAGTATCACAATGGGCCATGCATAAACAGTAGATTCACAATCAATTCCTATAGGAAAGAGATCAACTGCCGATAGCCTTCCTGATAAAATAAATTGGTAATCTACTATGCATGTGTATGCTTAGCTGGGATATTTTCTTTGGAGATGCTTTGCAGCTCTTAAACCCACAATGAAAACCTTTGTCGAAGGAAAAAAGATAAGTGATAGAAGATATAAGTGCAAGACGATAGCATATTAAAGAAGAACTAAAGTCAACTGCAGGGGCGGACTGACCATTTGGAAACTCGGGCACTACCCGAGGGCCCGGGGTCAGTAGGGGGCCCCATGAGATGCCCCTGGTACCTTTTTTTTCATAGGCTTTTTTGAGTTTGGGCAAAGGACACAGGGGCCCCATGATATCCCCTATTGCCCAGGGGCCCCATGAGTTGTCAGTCCGTCCTGGTCAACTATACTTTTCTTTTATTGGTCTGACATTCCTCACCGGCATCTTTTAACCAACTTCTTCCCCATGCTGGGCTGCAGCAATCTTCATTGACTGGCAAAAATGGTGTCACTCCTGCGCATGCACATGAGTTCAGTCATCCTGGCACATACAATTTGTGATGAAATATGAACAGGGCTGTGCTTGCACAGGTTGGTGGACATTCTAAAGAAGATAGGTCTGTTTGTTTGCAAAAGAGACATTGCCAGCAGGCGGGGTATTTATTGCAAAACAGACATGCAGTCTTTAAAATCTCGATTTTAGTTCCATTAAGAATAACTGATCTTAAAGCTGAGTTCCACTCACACTGTCAAAAAATAAAAGTCAGCAGCTACAAAAACTGTAGCTGTTGACTTTTAAAAAACAGCCACTCACCTGTCCCACGATCCTGCAGTGTCCTCCCAGCAGCCCGTTTCACCAGCCATCTGGTGCTCCAGGCGCCAGCATCTTCAGTGTGGGCACCCGGCTTTGACAGCTTGCGGCATCACATCCGGGAGCCCACTGTGCATGCACAAGTAGCGCTGAATGACCCCGTAGTCTTCTGGGACCTGTCACGTGTCCCAGAAGACTACGGGGAGGGACAGTAGGAGGACAACGTCCGCTTCCAATCGCCTAGGTGATCGCAGTGGAAGTGGGAGCGGGTACCTGTCAAATTCGAGGACCAGTCTCTTTAAAGTGGAGTTCCACCCAAAAGGGTAAGTTCCGCTTTAAAGTACAGTTGTCCTTTAAGTGTCAAAACCTAACCATTAACATAATCTATACACCTGACCAGGGGCGGACTGACCATTGGGGAACTCGGGCACTGCCCGAGGGCCAGGGGTCAGTAGGGGGCCCCATGAGATGTCCCTGGTACCTTTCATAGGCTTTTTTGGGTGTGGTTTGAGTGTGGGCAAGGACACGGGCCCCATGATCCCCTGTTGCCCGGGGGCCCCATGAGTTGTCAGTCCACCCCTGCACCTGACCTAAATTGTTTGTTCCAAAGTAAACCTATGTTGTAATATGCCAGCAAGAAAAATGTTAGCAGTGATATACAATACAGCCAAAGATAGGCACTGACACTCTCTGGAATATGTTAAAAGGTAGATGTGTGTCTCATTTGGAACTGGATAATGGCAAAATAAAAAGCCAGATCTAGTTATCAGTTTGCTTTCTCTACCATTCTGCTGTTTAGATTTCCAAAAAGATATTGATTGTCCAGGGTAGTCATCAGCAACTCATACACTGACCAGCTATTTGCAGAATATGTTTGAAGCTGTCTAACCTGCCTGAAAATTTGGAACATGTGTGAGCACTATAGCACTTTTATAATTATTATTATACAGTATTTATAAAGTGCCAATAGTTCGCTCAGCGCTGTACATTACAAAGGGGGAAAGAACATGTGACAGAACAATACCAATACAATGCAAAACATGAGGGGATCGGGCCCTGCTCTTTGGAGGTTACAATCTAGGAGGGAGGGGATAGTGGCACAGGAGGAGATAGCTGTGGGGGATGGAGTGGTAGGAAGAGTGGAGGAGGTTGGCAAGTTAGCAGGGGGTGGGGTCGGCTTCCCTGAAGAGGTGGGTTTTCAGGGTGCGCCTAAAGGAGAGGAGAGTAGGTGATAATCTGATTGGTTGGGGCAGGGAGTTCCAGAGGATGGGTGACACCCTGGAGAAGTCCTGGAGGCGGGCATGGGAGGAGGAGACCAGGGAACTAGAGAGAAGGAGGTCTTGTGAGGAGCGGAGTGTGCGTGCTGGGTGGTACTTGGATATTAGGTCAGTGATGTAGTTCGGGGCAGTATGGTGGACAGCTTTGTACGTCAGTGTTAGGATTTTGAATTTGATCCGTTGCGCAATCGGAAGCCAGTGGAGGGATTGGCAGAGGGGGGTGGAGGCCAGTGGAGGGATTGGTAGAGGGGGGTGCAGGAAATGGAGCGGTTGGAAAGGTAAATGAGTCTGGCAGCCGTATTCAGGATAGACTGAAGCGGGGATAGCCAGCGGCGAGGCAGGCCAGTGAGGAGGGAGTTGCAGTAGTCGAGTCGTGATATGATAAGGGAGTGGATGAGCTGTTTAGTGGTTTCTGGGGTTAGGAACGTGCGGATTTTGGCGATGTTGCGGAGGTGGAGTCTGCATGTTGCGGAGGTGGAGTCTGCATGAGTTTGTTAAAGATTGGACTTTGGGCTGGAAGGATAAGTTGGAGTCCAGAATGACACCAAGTACTCTGGCCTGCGGGGTGGGTTTGATGGTGGCGTTGTTGGACATGATGGAGAAGTCAATGGGGGGGTGGTGTCTGGGCTTGGGGGCAGACAAGAAACTCAGTTTTGGAGAGGTTCAGTTTAAGGAAGTGGAGCGACATCCAGTCTGATATGTCGCTCGGTAGGTGTGTGATTCGGGCAGAGACTGAGGCGGTGAGGTGGGGGGTTGAGAGATAGATTTGCGTGTTGTCGGCAT